TAATAACATGTTTGGGGAACTGAGTTTAGACAAGGATTTGCGTGTGAAGGGGGAGGGGGGGGGGGGGGGACTAAATTCGGACGAGGATTCGAGAACGGTACAACGAACAGTCTTCTTTCTCTAATGATTTAATGTAACGTAAAAGCTTCCGCGCTTCGCGCGAGAAGAGGAAATCTGTTTTCAGACGAGGATTATTTTCGAGAACGGTATAACGAATTTATATAGACCCTTTGAACCAAAAACTTTATGTATGAGCAACGTTAAATTCATATATTTCTAAATTCACTTGTTTGTGAATGTATGTTCCTACTCCACCTCCTCTCACATTCCACTAGCGGCAGTTAACCTCCAAAACATAATCTAAATGGGAATGTGTCTACACTAGTAACATTCCAAACTTCTGAAAGGGCAATAATATCAAATTTGTGCTTGATAGAATGATCATACAGTACGTGCAATTTGTATTTAATGAAGTAGAAGGACGTGTGCGGAGGTTATGATAAATAATTTGTTTTCGTGAGAGGAGCGTGGCAAAACAACTTGGCTTGGCACGAATTGTGTTTTTGTCTCTTTTTTACGCGATTTATATATCCCGCGAAGTTGCCTTGATTTGTAAAAGTCCCTTACTGCGTACACCTTAAACAAAAGAGAAAACGATTACCTTGACATTCTTTTAAGTTAAAAAGGGCATAGGAATTACAGGACGATAATGTATAGATTGGAAGATGCCTCTATTACCAACATGAGTAGAATGAAATAGTTTAAAGGGGCTTATGTTTGAGCGTGAAAAGAGCATATATATATTAAGTTACCCTGACTTATCAATAAAAGGGGCACTTTATATCACTGGAAACAAGGCGCAATTCATTCATATGAAATGTTGAGAGTTGTGGCCCCTTGCCCCGGCTAACAGGTAGCTAAGGTACCTGTTACTACATTAAGCAGCTCTGATTCCTTGAACCTAGGCGTAGCTCTTTAAATGAATGCAACGGGTAAATTGTGAAGCGACACTTGTGATACATACATGAAGAACAACTATCAGGGGGCAATATTATAAGGGACAAGGGGCTATAATCAAAAGTAGCTAGGGAACCTATCATATTTAAAAATGGAGACTTATTCGATTAGAAAAGGGACATCCATCCAAGGTGAAATGGGACCCTATTAAAAAGGAGGAAGGGGGCACTTGTCAGAAACTGAAAGGGCACTTACATGTATAAGGAAGAAATAAGGGAATTTTTCAAGGCAGATATAGGGCAAATGAAAAGGGTCATTTTTAACTTTTGAAAAGGGGCATGGTATGGTATGGTATGGTATTTATTGAAACATGCATCGCAGTTACATATACTGAATTGCACATGGATATACATTGCATTTTAAAAACGAGAGTACAATTAAAAACAGTATCATTTACATAATTATAAGTACACGTATTATGTCACATAAAGAAAAGAGGTTAAAAAGGGAAAGGGAGAGAGAGAGAGAGAGAGAGAGAAAGAGGAGAGAGGGAGAGGAGGAGAGAGGGAAGGAAAGTAAGAGAAATAGAAAGAAAGGATAAGAGAGCGAGAGATATAGTGAAGAAAGAGAAAGAGCAGGAAAGATAGAAAGATGGAGAAAGAGAGAAAAAGAGAGAGAGAGAGGTGAAGGAGAGAGAGAGAGAGAGAGAGAAAGAGGAAGAGAAAGAGAGAGAGAGAGAGAGAGGCAAGAGGTAAAGAAGGGGGAGGAGAGAAGGGGGAACTTGCCAACAATTAAAAATTACATACAAATTGACGATAAAAAGATAAAAGTATGCATTGCAACATTGACATTACGAATAGTATTAATAAGAAGAACAAAAATCTGACTGACATGAGCGCTATCCAAGAACCCACTATTATTATTATTATTATTTTAGCTCACCTAAAAATCTTTTGGTAAGTTGTAAAATGTATAAATGAGAATGTTTTCTTTTTTAACGCAGATGGTAGTAAAAACATTTTAAAAAGGATAATAACAACCTTTTTAAGAAAATATTTATATATAACAACTAAATACAGGCGGATATAGCACAGAAGCAAGATTCAAAAGGAGTAATTGCAGACCTGCGTAAACTAATAGTGTTAAGATAAAATAACGGGCAACCAGAGGCAATTTAAAGTAATACATGTAATTATGAAATCGACAGTATACAATGCGAAGAGTAAAGATAATTAACTGATAAATTGAGGTAAAGCGTATTGCAAATATTTACATTATGTTTCTACATTTAGCAATAATATAATTGTTCAATCCAAGATATTTAATTGAATCTGAAATATAATGCATTAAGATTCGGCGAATTGTAGATGTGTTCAGGCAAAGATTGCAATTTGAGAATGAATTATAATAAGCAAATTGTGATTTAAAAGAGGCTTTAGATAACTGGCAATAATTCATATAAAGAAAAAAAACATGGGAAAGAAATGAGGTTACTAAAGATGACCGTATTTGTATCTTGATACAGAAATTGAAGTTATATTGACAAAAATACATGTAATTCACAAAGTTTGGCAGTATTATGCTATCAAAAAAAATTGAACAGACCGGATGCCACATCATGGCTGGTTTAAAAGCCTTACTAGATAGGGTAAAGCACTTTTTCTGTAGCGTTCTGTCCTACACTTGATTTCACGTAGCCTATTACTATGTCTCAATTGTCTTCGAGAACACTGGCTTTCAGGTAACCACTCACGAAAGTTACAGTAGAGGGACCTAGCGAAGTTTAGACAGAGCTCTTCTCTTCTGTCTCTCAGAGACGACAGATTACACACTGTGAGAGCCTGACGGTAGGATTCATATCTTAGTCCTAATATTGTCCGCAGGGCACGCTTCTGGATTGACTCTATTTGAGCTTCCTGGTTTAGAGTTAGTGAGGAATGCCATACTACACAACAGTATTCTAGCACCGGTCTTATGTAGGACGTAAAAACTGTGATCAAATCTTGAAGTGGCATAGAGAAACGTTTGAGCATCCGTAGCAGATAGAGTTTCTTGGCTGCTTTTGATGTAATGCAGTTGACGTGTTCCAACCACCGAAGATCACTGCTAAGAACGACGCCAAGCAATTTCACGTGTTGCTTGTCCGGGATTTGATTTTCGCCGATCATAACTTCCGCTGGTGGGAGCTGTCGACGAGCAAATGATACCCTCATGAGTTGGCATTTGGATGGGTTTAGACGCATATTCGAGTCCTTACACCATTCTTCAAATACAGACAATGTAGCATTAAGACAACTTGGTGAATTTGATCGGCGTGTTTCTGCAACAGTAAGGTCATCTACATACTTCCATCTAGAGCAGTCAGATGACTGGAGGGCATCGTTGACAGTGGCTAAGAAAACCAGAGGTCCAAGTCGCGTCCCTTGAGGAACACCGACTGAAGTGGCGAGTGTTGTTGAAAGTTGGTCTTTGTACCGCACTTGCTGAGTTCGCTCACCAAGGAAGCTGCATAACCAAGGAAGTAAGGATGGCCGTGCACCCATTGTGTAGATTTTTGTGATTGCTACGTTATGGTTTACTAAGTCGAAGGCTTTGGAAAAATCCGTAAGCACCACACTCGTAATTGATCCAGATTTGTCAGCATTCGAATGGAGGTATTCCAGCAGGCTTAAAAGGTAATGGCTCGTTGACCAACCAGGACGATTGCCGAACTGCTGAGGATCGATTTCGTGAGATATGTCATTCAAGATCATTTTAGATGCAAACAGTTCCAACAACTTCGCGAAGAAGTCAGTCAGGGCGACAGGGCGCAACTTCTGTAACGTCGCAGGAGTTTCTTTGGGAACAGGAACAATGATGGACCTCTTCCAATGACTTGGAACCCTGCTTTGTTGAAACGACGCATTAAAGATGTCGCAGAGAGGTGAGCTGAGTTCCACTGCGAATTCCCGAATCAACCGTGGTGAGATTCCGTCCGGTCCACCACTTTTTCCAACTGGGGTTTTGGACAGTTCTCTGTAAACTGTCCAGGGTTGTATGGTTGGCAAAGTGTCCAGCTGAATCGGTCTGAACGCAGGAATTTCGCTCAAATCAAGGGATGGGGTGTCCTTTCCGATGCTTACGAAGTACGAGTTTATGGCATTTGCTATTGGCAACTTGTCCGAAGTATTGATATCTGGCAAGGAAATAGACGTGTCTTGTTGCCTATTCGAAGTCATCAGTTTGATATATTTATACCATGATGCGGGGTTTTCGCGTTTCAGATGTTGGACGCGGTCCCTATAAAACACTCTTTTCGCATGAGTGATCGCTTGCTGCACTTTGTTTCGAAGACTACGCCAATTCGGGGAGCCTGAGTGGAAGGCCCTTTGTCGTTGATGTATTAGGTCTTTGACCTTGGTTGTCATCCAAGGCTTATCCATCATATGCAGCTTTACGGACTTGGTTGGGAAGTGAGTGTTGATTGCCGCGTTCAAATCATTATAGAACACCTCACATTTGCGTTCTACATCCGTTTCTTGATAAACACTTATCCAATCGTGGTGTGTTATCCAACTGCCGAATTCGCGCACATCCGATTGACGCATCGGTCTGACAGTTTTCTGTCTGACTTCATTTCTCCTGGATGATTGCTGTTTTGGCCTCCATATGACTCCATTAGGCACTCATCAAGGTGAGAAGGGTCACTAATAAGAAAAGTACGGGGCACCTGCTAGAATTTAAAATGGGCAGTAATCACATGGGGGAAGGAACAATTATTATTACAAAGAAAATGGGTCACCTGTTATTGTAAGAAGGGGCACTTTTCAGGTACTCAAACAAGTGGGGGAAATAAAACGACCCCCCCCCCCTCCCCCTTGCCTCGACCGTATTTGTGAAATCTCTGGTTTTCTTCTTTTCTTTGTTATTAAGGTCTTGTAAATAAGGTTTCAAAGTATGTCAAGATCCTACTTCTCTACTTTAAACAAAACATTCATTTTCTCCATAGTTATGGCGGCACATGGAGGTATTGCCGATGATCTTCTCTTCAAGCTGGCTGAAACATCGAGACGGGTGAGCAGGTGGAGGCCTTAGGACGAACACTCGGATTCAATATCGCAGAAATAAATAGATACACAGAGACCAACAGGATAGAAGGACTAGTGACCTGCAAGGGAACACGTGCGATGCTGTTTGACTGGAGACAGACCGTGAAGCCTTGCGATCAGCATCATAGACTGGAACAAGCTCTCATTGACGCTAAGCTAGTAATGCTTGCTGATACACATCTCAGGGTGACACCAAATAAGGGGATATCAAGTGATCCAGGTGGGTCTATTAGTGCTAGAATCCTAACAATCACTTCCTTTATCCGTTAATTGTTTTAACAACGTACCAAATTTGAAGATGGTATATGACAGGATAGCATTATTTCACAATCCTTCACCGCGTTTACCTCTGCCCTCTAATTGTTGTTTGAAAAAGATCTTTAAATAAAGGAGAAAATAAATCCATGATTTTCAATATCGATTTAGAGAAAGTTTTCATGACTGATCTATATAGTCGAATCAAAGATAACAGCAGCGTTGAGTGCGTTTCTAGGCCTTTGCTTCATGGAAAAGAGGCAAATCGTCGGAGTTTCAACGAGAATCTTAAACAAAATTGCGAAGGGGTTGATAGAGCATGGGAGTATAATAACATATTCGGTTTTATATATGATTATATCATTCCAGATATCTACAGTAAGAAGATCTCGGCATCATTGACTGTGCAGCGATGTCGCGAAAAGTTGGAGAATAAGTACCGAAATCAATTGTGCAAAATTCAAATGAAACCGTGGGATCAAACTGATTATGCTGAGTTCAAAGATATGCACACGGTTGTCACGATGGTGCAGAAGGACGCTCGTGGACAAGACACGAAAAAGAAGGAAATACTCCAGGGTTCTGTTGCTGAAATATTTTCAACGAAAGTAAACGGAGAACTGCCAGCTCGAATCCTCATTTCGGCCCCCGCTGGAAGAGGAAAGACCACGGCTGTCGCTAAGATGGCTTACGACTGGGTTCACAGGGAAAAGGGATCAGAATTAGAACTACTGCCACTTCTGTTTGTTGTGAAATTCCGAAACACAAGTCAGCTCACATCGATCGGAGAAGCTATCAAATCCCAGCTTTTGAGTGATGTTAATGATCTCACACCAGAGGGTTTGGAAAGTTTCATTAGAGAGAATCAGGGAATCTGTCACATCATACTAGACGGGCTAGATGAGTATGCTGGTATTTCTTCTTCAAACCGGAGCTTAGGGAGCAACATTGTCAGTGTCATCCGCTGGGAGGAATTTCCAGAGTGTAGAGTCCTTGTAACAACACGCCCTCACCTAGAGAACTTCTTCAATCAAGCGGAACTTCCTAGAGTATACACAAAGATGTGGATCGAAGGATTCTCGCAAGAGAGCTCACGTGAGTACATCGACAAGTTCTTTGCTTCGACTTCGAATCCTTGTCGTGGACATGGTCTGAAGGTTTACCTTGATGACCAACCACTGATTAATGAACTTGTTAAAACGCCTTTATTTTGTCTCATGGTCTGTCACTTATGGAGCGAGGAGCGTTTGGACACTGAAACTGCAACTCAAACAGAATTATTAGACAGCGTGAATGTTTTTCTGATGCACCATGCCAATGCCCGAGCAACATCAACATACAACATAGCAGAAGAAGAACTTATCGAAATAATTCGTAAGCTGGGTGAGGTTGCTCTAGCTGGTCTAATCGACGACTCTAAAAAACTAGTCTTCACGCCCCATGATTTCCGAAGAGTCCCCGCTATCCTTGATAGGGCATGTGAGCTTGGGATATTATCCAAGACGACGATTCCAACGACAATGCTCCCACGATCTCACAATACCACATCCACGACCATTGAGTTTTATCACAAACTCGTTCAGGAACACTCGGCTGGGAAATACCTTGCTGCTAAAACAAAGAAATATACATGTATGTTACGACTGAAGATTTCTAAGTTGGACAGACTGCTGCGAAACATCAAAGCAAACATCGGTGACTATGAGAATCTCATCCGATTTGCTGCTGGCACAGATAACGGCCTTTGCATACGAATAATGGAGACGCTCCTTTCCAACCGATTTTTGGATGAGAGCGAACGATATCGAATTCTCCTAGACTGTTCATCAGAGACCAAGGGTACTCAACAAGATGTGTCTTCGTTGGTTCAAAGATGTGTAAATGCAGAGAGTATTGTTCTGAAGTCACCGACTGTCTACACCGTCGTTGGGATGCAAAATCTTCCAAAGCAACTTAAACGTCAGGTATGCACATTTTCATTTTACAAAATGTGTTTACAATAATAATAATCTCATACAGATTGATTAAGTTTTCATCCCTTCGCTATAATTAAAAGTCAAAGGGGTAAGATTGTTTTAATAGATTATTGATTACAATTGACGGCATCTTCATATAAAATAATGATGCAAGATAAAATTATCAAGACGTATGATTCATTATCATAATTATTCTATCTTTGCCCAATTACGGCCTTGATCAAGGTACTGCATTCCAGAAACGAGAAAAATAATGCAAACAAAAAATATACTAGGTCCTAGGGCATATTTACATAGGGAAAATCATGTGATTCAGGCAATAAAAGCAAGTAGCCTATGTAAAACAAAGAATCGCTATATTTAACATGGAAGAAAATACATCTATAACTTATGTATGTAAAGAAGTAGAGAAGGAAGCTTCCATTACTAGTCTTTAGCGAATACATTTATCAGATAAGATCAGACCGTAGGCTCGTTTGCTGTAATGATTACCACCAAAACAAGACATTAGATAGTTCAGAATCTGGCCTATTCAATTGAAGATAATATCCATCATCGCGACCTTCCTCTACGCGCTGCAAATAAGAGCGGAGAATATTATAGAGATGAAATATAAGAACCGGCCAGATTATGGACTAGAGCTGAAATAGAAATCTTCATCAACTTATCGATGTTTTGACTATTAAATATTGTCTATATCTCTTTTTCTCTTTACCCCCTCCCCCTCACCTTGTTTCTCTCTCTCTCTGTCTGAACACCAGGTTAGGACAGTAAAGTTCGAGGGGTCTACTCTAACTACCGACGTGACGAGTGGACTATGGTCCTGCCTCAAAGACTTTTCGATGTTAGATACTCTCGTCATCTCAGACTCGTCTCTCAGTTTCCCTCCATTTCTTCCGGTGCTTATATCAGTCACAAACCTATCAGCCGAGATAGTGACGTCACAAAGCTACGAAGGAGTGCTCCCATCGATACCTGGAGTGAGAGATATCGATGTCTCTATCGATGTTGCAGAGACGAGCAACACTTTTCAGATCACCACCGCATCCAGGCCTATGAATCAGACTATGGCTATGGATGAACAGTTCTTTGTTCATATCAGACTACACGCCTTGAAAGCACTCACCACAGACAGGAAAACCGAGTCAGGAGAGACAATTGGAGGGCTAAGCCTTCTATTTGAAGACCAAACCAAAAAGCAACAACGGCTGCATGTGTCAGGGGTGAGGGGCAGAGACGAAGAAACATTGGTGGACCTGCTTGTCAAGACTAAACAACTAACGTACCTGAATTCGAGGTAGGTCTAGGCTAGGGATACTAGATCTAGGTCTTTTATTACTAGGCCTACTATACCTATTACTACTAGATCTAGGTCTAGATCTGTATTCATATATACATGGTGGTGTGACCAAAGTTCGCTATCTCAACAAATCGGTACAATTTCGAAAGTTTGATATCACTAATGGGAAGAGAAACCTAAAATTACCGAGACACGAATTTTTTTTATGGAATAGGAGGTGATATTAGTAAAATATTGACAAAAGATTGTCCAATTTTGCAGTCTTTTTCGTCCGTTCTGAAAAATATGAACTTGCCGACAAGGGTTTGCAAATCTTTATTTTGAGAGCAAATGTCATCAAAATTGCAAATAAAAAGTGGTAACCAGGGGCGGCGATTTATTTTCATGACCGGGGCGACAAAGTGCGAGGGGCGAGGGAGCATATATCTAGAGCATGACATGGGCGAAGGTGACAGGAGTGACTAGATCTATCCCCTTACACTTTCAATTTGTTTTGAAGTTTTGTTTTATTAAAACATTACATTCCTTAGCAAAACTATAGTATACAAATAAGCAATGTGCTTTTTCACACTTCACTTTTACATTGTCGGTAATAAGTATGCAGTCCAAAGGGTTGTAAATATTTAATAGGCCGAGGTAAATTTTGGTAAACTTTAATTAGGGCCTAGTCTAGTCTAGAGTCTAGGTCTAGTCATGTAAATGAAGGACCTTGAGTTTGACTTAATAGTACTTTTTTTTTTTGAAAGATGTACACCATTTGCCCTAACAGGAAGTCAGTCGACAATATTTGTAAAACCAGGCTGGAAGGGACTCTTTAAACAATGAAACTTAATAAAAAGAGCGAGCGGAATATTCTTTTTTTTTAGCACTGATCTCTTTTTATAACTCTTACTCTTCTAAACATACACTGTAAAATGTGCTCACGTGATACCATCGAAATAAGGGTTTTCTACAATATTTACTTGTACATTTTGAAGGACATTAATAATACGCGAGGGAGCGCTAGCGTAGCTATCGACCGAGCGAGTATATTTTTGCATTTTTATTAGTCAAAACGCTGCACTCGTTGGCCCTCCAGAGCCTTACAAAGAAAAAGTGTTGTGAAGTCTTTAGTCAGTATTTGGTATAAATTTGATTGCATGATATTTTTCCTTGCAAACTATCCAATTATCTTACATTTGATCGATTGAATTTTTCGATAAATCAGATGTAAACCTCCGTGCACGGAGTAAAGGTTTCGTTGTTTTCATGATTTTTTCGTGAGTGGCAGCGCGCACACCAATCCGACATCGAATTTTAAATCGCGATATCTCCGGAATCCTTTGACGATAATTTGTTTGTAGTTTCACCAATTTGTAGTTAAAAAAATTGCCGTCCATGTGCTAATAATTGAAATTAATAAATTTGTGTCAAATATGGGAAATCATGGATCAAATCTCACATTTTCTAATATTTTCAAAAAAAAATCAGCGAACTTTTGTCACTGTAGATTTTTGTGTTTATGTTGCTTTTTAATTTTAAGACGGTATGAACACCAAACAATGTAATAAAATGGTATTTCATGGATGTTCTTATTAGTCATGATTATATTTGTTACTATAATTACCATATTATAATATGATTATTATCATTATTGTTATTGTTAGTATTGTTGCTTTCATTTAACTCTGTAAAGAGGGTACGCATAATTTACTTGCATTCTTTATCAATGTAATATACTTTCCCAAGATTTGCTTTCAAGAATCACATTCTTTCCCTCGTTCCCTTTCAAATAATCTTTGTAGGAGTGGAGGTGGTACTCTAGACAAAAAGAACAACGTCCAGGTGAGTGACTTTTTTTATGCGGTGTGCATGCATTCCACTTTGAAATATTCAACAAACGGATATCCTCTGAATTTTACTATTAAAGGGAATTGCAAAACAGTTGCATATGTTGTTGTTGAAGAAACTCAATTAGTTCTCGGAATATAAATGTGTTACTTGTAATTTCAGCTTCACTGACAAAGGATTATCTATGTCCACACGTTTATTCTCAATATTTAAATTGATGTATATAAAAGTGACAAGTTTGTCTGTTAAATTTCATTGCAGAATACTCGGCTTGAGATAAAGCAATGCCAGCTATCTACAGAGGTGACCACAAAGTTGTGGTCCTGTCTCAGATCCTTCACCTCACTGAACCATATCACCATCTCAGACTCCTCTCTCAGTTTCCCTCCATCTGCTCCGGAGCTTCCATCCGTCACAAAGCTAACAGCCGAGAGAGTGACGTCACATAGCTATGAAGGTCTGCTCTCATCGATACCTGGAGTGAGAGATATCGATGTCTCTATCGATGTTGCAGAGACGAGCAACACTTTTCAGATCACCACCGCATCCAGGCCTATGAATCAGACTAGGTCTACGGCTATTGTTTATATCAGACTAGGCCTAGGCCTACACGCCTTGACGGCACTCACCACAGACAGCAAAATTGAGTCAGGAGAGACAGGGCTTAGTCTTCTATTTGATGACCAAACCAAAAACCAACAACGGCTGCATGTGTCCAGGGTGTGGGGCAGAGTCGGAGAGGCCTTGGTGGACCTGTTTGTCAAGACTAAACAACTAACGTACTTGAATTCGGGGTAGGTCTAGGCTAGGTATACTAGATCTAGGTCTATTACTACTAGGCCAACTAGACCTATTGCTACTAGATCTAGGTTTAGACTAGATCTTTATTTATATATATATATATATATATATATGGTGGTGTGACCAAAGTTCGCTATCTTAACAAATCGGTACAATTTCAAAGGGGGATATCACTAATGGGAAGAAAAACCTAAAATAACCGAGAGACAAATTTTATTATGGAATAGGAGGTGAAATAAGTAAAATATTGACAAAAGATTGTCCAATTTTGCAGTCTTTTGCGTCCGTTCTGAAAAAATATAAACTTGCCGACAAGGGTTTGCAAATCTTTATTTTGAGAGCAAATGTCATCAAAATTGTAAATAAAAAGTGGTAACCAGGGGCGGCGATTTATTTTCATGACCGGGGCGACAAAGTGCGAGGGGCGAGGGAGCATATATCTAGAGCATGACATGGGCGAAGGTGACAGGAGTGACTAGATCTATCCCCTTACACTTTCACATTTTGTTGAAGTTTTGTTTTATTAAAACATTACATTCCTTAGCAAAACTATAGTATACAAATAAGCAATATGCTTTTTTCACACTTCACTTTTACATTGTCGGTAATTAGTATGCAGTCCAAAGGGTTGTAAATATTTAGTAGGCCGAGGTAAATTTTGATAAACTTTAATTAGGGCCTAGTCTAGTCTAGAGTCTAGGTCTAGTCATGTTAATGAAGGACCTTGAGTTTGACTTAATAATACTTTTTTTTTTTTTAAAGATGTACACCATCTGCCCTAACAGGAAGTTAGTCGACAATATTTGTAAAACCAGGCTGGAAGGGATTCTTTAAACAATGATACTTAATAAAAAGATCGAGCGGAATATTCATTTTTGTTAAGCACTGATCTCTTTCTATAACTCTTACTCTTCTAAACATACACTCTAAAATGTGCTTACGGGATACCATCGAAATACGGGTTTTCTTTAATATTTACTTGTACATTTTGAAGGACATTAATCATATGCGAGAGAGCGTAGCTAGCGACCGAGCGAGTAGATTTGTGCATTTTTATTAGTAAAAACGCTGCACTCTTTGACCCTCCAGAGCCTTACAAAGAAAAAGTGTTGTGCAGTCTTTAGTCAGTATTTGCTATAAATTTGATTGCATGGTATTTTTCCTTATTAAAATATGATTATTATGATTATTGTTATTGTTAGTCTAATTGCTTTCATTTACATCTGTAAAGAGGGGATGCAGAATACACTTGCATTCTTTATTAATGTAATATCATTCGCCAAGATTTGCTTTCAAGAATCACATTCTTTCCCTCATTCCCTTTCAAATATTGTTTGTAGGAGTGGAGGTGGTACTCTAGACAAAAAGAACAACGTCCAGGTGAGTGACTTTTGTTACACGGTGTGCATGCATTCCACTTTGAAATATTCAACAAAGGGATATCCTCTGAATTTTATTATTAAAGGGAATTGCAAAACAGTTGCATATGTTGTTGTTGAAGGAACTCAATTAGTTCTCGGAATATGAATGTGATACTTATAATTTTAGCTTCACTGACTAAGGATTCTGTATGTCCACACGTTTATTTTCAATATTTAAATTGATGTATATAAAAGTGACAAGTTTGTCTGTTTTAAATTTCATTGCAGAATACTCGGCTTGAGATAAAGCAATGCCAGCTATCTACTGAGATGACCGAAAAATTGTGGTCCTCCCTAAGATCCTTCACCTCACTGAACCATCTCACCATCTCAGAGTCCTCTCTCAGTTTTTCTCCATCTCCTCCTGAGCTTCCATTCGTCACAAAGCTATCAGCCGTGAGAGTGACGTCACAAAGCTATGAAGGTCTGCTCTCATCGCTTCCTGGCTTGAGAGATATCGTAATCTCTATCGATGATGCAGAGAGACAGATACCTCAGATCACGGCTGGTCTTCGTCGGGCCGGAGGACAACAGCTCACACACATCGAGCTTAGAGCATCGACATTACTCTCAGAGAAGAAGAAGAAGGTATCGAGAGAGACGATGAGAGGACTGGGTCTTCTGATCATAGAACAAACCAAGAAGCTACAGCGGCTAGATCTGATCGGAGTGAAGTGCACAGACGAGGAAGACTTGGTTTACCTCATCGAGTGTTGCAGACATGTGAAGACGATGGCAGAGCTGTGGTAGGTTCTTATTCAAATCTTGTATAAAATAGATTAAAATCCTACTAGACGATCTTAATTAGTTAGTCTACAGTGAGAAAGCATAATGATACGAATGCGTAAAGGGATGCAAAGGTTAAAACGTGGTTGTAACTTCCAATTATTTGACTGAAAGTTTTGTGCTCTAGCTGCAATGAACCGTTAAAGGCAAACCGTCCTTTTTAAAATTATTCTACATCGCTTTTTGGATATATCGTCTTAAGAACATCAAGTTCCATGATCTGAGGTGGCACGTATGCCCCCCCCCCCCCGTATGGTAGCCATCCTAGAATGCATATTAATATCTGAATATATGAATATTTGCGTTGGTACTCGTGAGGTGGAGATCAAATTCAAAATTAAATCGGCCAGATTCAGGACTAAATGAACCAGTTTGTCACAATGAACATGGACAAGTTATGACCTGGGTAGTCATTCGTTTGCGGTAAGCATCCCGATTTTGTCGCAATGTCACTTATTTAAAGTAAACTTAGCTTTGCATTTGTAAATTTTGTATGAAATCTCATATTTGATCAATTATCGCATCAGATTCTGTGTGCGTGCGTATAATGAATAATGATGACTAGCGCATGACGTATAGTTCCTATTGAGCCAACAAATGCAGCGACAGGATGGCTACCGTACGGGAAAAAATAGACGCCCCGGCCATCGTCGGCTCTTACTCTTCGACTCAGAATTTGTGAATTTTCGAAGCTTAAGCAAAACCAAACTAGGGGAAATGACAAATTTTCCCCTTTTCTCCCCTGGAGGGTTTTTTATCCACTACAATTAATTTCGATTTTAAAAATCAACTTTTAAGGCCGAATTACTCTTGGCTTTAAAACTGATGCTCGTGAGCTGTTTCATCGAATCTAATTTAAACTAAAATTGATTTTGATAAATTTTAGGTTAAATGTAAAAGGGCTCATTAATCAAGGCTAGTCGATTTTGGGTCAATTAACCACAAAATTGCGTCGCTAAACTACTGCAAGAGAGGTCCTCGAAAAGTAAGTAAATTCCGTTCTGGTGATACAAAAAAAAAAAAAATGGTAGAAGGAAGGTATTCCTCTCATATTTAACCGAACGGTATTTGAAATAAATATCAACTAAAAGCATTCCCCAACTGAGCTAAACTTAAGTTAACTCTTCGAATTGCACCGGTTCATGCATTTCCGTCCCGTTCACATAGCCTACATTCATGCATGTTTAACTGTACTTGTCTAACGATGTTGAATATTTGGTTAGGACATGTAAGAAATATAGTTTATTCTTGCATTTGATCACAAAATAAGTCTACCACGGCTTTAGGAATCATCGTGTTGTATGGTTTTGCCGATAAGTCTAGTGCTTACAATTGTAGATTTAGGCTTAGATTCCGAATCTAGGCCTAGATACAGGCTAGCCTACTTTTTTTTTTTTGGCCAGTAGGCAGTACGGTAGCCGTTTTTTTGTGTTAATAATAATTATAAAATGATGACGTAAATCCTATTCAAATAATTGGTTGAAAGCATTTATTTTGCCTAACGCGTAATTTGGGTAATGCTACGTTTACACTATGTTCCCGGCGGCCACGGCAACCACGTTTCAGGCCACCGTGGACGAAACGGGATTGACGTGACACAACGCGGGGGACCGTATGGGCAAACGTGACAGGCCGTGATTGCCGTGGATACCGTGTCAGATTTTTAAACTGTCAAAAAATTCGCCACGGCAGTCACGGTGCGGATGAGAAACCTAGTAGGCCGTAATAAACCGGGGTGAACGTAACAAAACGTGACAGTCCGTAATAGATCGTAACAAAACTTGGGGGTGGTCCGTAGTGGGACGGTTTAAGCGCCCGGCACGCTACGGCGCGTTGCGTTCTACTACGGTCTGACACAACGCGAGGTCTCAGAATACCATGATTGCTATCGCTTGGGAGTTTTTTTTTTATACCGCCGGCACAAACGTGCTCCAAAGCTGCCCTGCGTCCACGTTTCATCCGTACAAAGCCTTGACAGAACGTGAAAAACGTGTCAGACCTTGATCAGAACGTGGGAAACGTGAGGGACCCCATCAGAACGTGACGGGCCGGGAGGGAACGTTCTGGCATCCGTGGTAGAACACGGGCCGAACCGTAGTGCGCCTTGGAGCCTCCAGGACTCAGCATCCCCTTCCCCCCCACGGCCCGTCACGGATACCGTGGTAGACCGTGAGAAAACTTGGCAAGACGTAACAAAACTTGAATCCAGAGATAAAATTGGTCTAAATCCCACGGCGTACTACGTTTCGGGCAAACGGGGCTGCCGTGGCCGCCGGGAACATAGTGTAAACGTAGCATTATGACCGGTCATTACCCAATGGTAATTACCGGTCATTAACACATCAAGCTTGTTGTTGCTATCGTAACCATTGAGATTTCATATAAGACGCGCGCAAGGCAAGGTACGCCTAATTTGCGCTTATCTTAATCCATGGTTTATGTAAATGAGGATTTAAACCATGGGTTAGATTTAACCTCCTTTGTGAATTCGGGCCTTTGGGATTGAGATGACAGTGATTGATCAAATAACAAGGATCCACGTCATAATTTTATAAAAAAAATAATACACATCATTTTGTTCGGGAATTAGTAATATTACCCGCACTCGGTACCTTTGGAAAAGTCTAACACGCCCGAGGCGATAGCCGAGGGCGTGTTAGACTTTTCCAAAGGTACCTTGTGTGGGTAATTCTTACTAATGCCCTCACTGCTGTGTATTATTTGTATACAATCAACGAGATAGTCATTGCTTTAACTTCAACATTTTATGCAAAAAAATGCGATTCCACAGTGTCAACCCCAAAACCATGTTAGATAAACTAACGAGTATGAGATTATTGGTTTGATCAGAATTCATCGAGTAATGTTTTAAAGAAAGTAAACAAATTAATGATACTTCCAAGAATTCTATTCTTATAATTAGAATTGTAGAATCGTGGAGAAGAAAAAAAAAACTATTTACAGATGAAAAATAAAACTGAAGTGATAATCCATATTCAGTTTAATAGCTCTGCAACTTAAGCATGCACTTTCGAGAAATATATTGCTAAGTGTTGTTGCTGATCTAAAAAGCTACGATTCTGTCCTGGAGGTTATTATTTATAAACTTACATTACATAGATAAATCTGTTCTCGGTGATAAATCTTAAAATATCAAATTTGAAATTTTAAAGTAGCAATTCATCTGAGCAGCAGTGGACCAATTTGAGGGTATTTTTTTAACTCTTAGTAGAGTTTCTGTTGGCATAAATATGTTTCGATAATTACCTGTTGATACCTGAATTGGATATTCTTAGCAATTGCACAAGAACAAATACAAAAGAAATAACCAAATTGTAAGTGCAGTGAAATAATATATCAACTCGGATTTATGATGTCCTTAAAAAAAATTCAAAGCTGATGAAAAAAAAGTAATTAACTTCGTATCCCGCCACCCCCCCCCCCCACTCAGTGCTATTAAGGGTACGCATATGCGTGTTCCCTCCTTTTGAAAACACCCCCTAAGTCCGGTATGTAAAGTCAATTTTGTGTATGTACGAGCCGGACTTTGGTGCGTGAAAAGTACCCCTTTACCGGACATTTTGGTAACACGCCTGTGGTCATTCCGACCCCGGAGTGGGGGGGGGGGGCTTCGTATAGACAACTGCATGACCTTACATGACAAAGTGTATTACTCTTAGATTAACAACAATACTAGTTACAGCAATCCTTACCACAAATGTCACTCATTTAATATCCACCAATGTATCTCGACTACACAGTGGCAGATATCACCTAAAGAGTAGTTCTTTTATTTGTGTCATTGATTATATTCGTTTTGTATCCATTTAAATAAATTGCTCATTATTTATACAATGTCGATTTTCTTGCATTAAAGCATAAAAATAGCTATTAGACTTTCAAGCTTGAAGAATTTGTGTAAACGTTAGTTTGTATTTGAGCAATGTATTGTTTGTCATTTAATTTAAAAAAATGGATTATGCAGAAATTTAAAGGATGAGATTGTGCGCTAACGCATAATTAGTAATTATGAAATGATGACAAAGGGCAATGGTATGTGATTCAATGATGGTGTGTTAGTTAAAGTGATTAGATAACCTAGCAGTGCTTTTGTTAGAAGACAATGGTTATTATTTGTATTTTTACTTTATTCATTATTTATTATTATTATTATTATTATTATTATTATTATAACTGTTTGGTTGTGGGGGAGGGGGTGTAAAAGAACAAAACAATCACTTTGAAAGGGACAGAAAGCAAAGAGGTGTGATAGCAGTGTGTTGTGTATTAATGAGAGAGAGAGAGAGAGAGAGAGTATGTGAATGGAACAAGGCCAAACATTTATAAACAAATCGATAATTAATGGCCCAAAATTTGCCTTTAACTTTAAAATCTACAAAATTCTCAATTCTGCGATACAAAATAAAATTGTTAGCCTTCATTTACGCCTTGCAAGCACATCAATGCTTGAACATTTCGGATTAATAATGGAATGATTTTTGTTTTAATTCGTTTTATTTAAAGAGGGTTACTCTCTCAGTATTAAAACTGTTTCCTGGGAAACCCTGTACAAATACACTGAGAGGAAATTGAACAAAGTTTAAATACATATCACATATCATATCATGGATTCGGTTTTTATGTTTTTTGTTTTTAAAATTTTATACACCAGAAAATAAACATGAACACAGTTTAGATATTTGAACAGCTTATTATATTTATATATATATATATATATATATATATATATATATATATATGTATAGTTTCTCTAAAATCGAAAATTAAAGCAGGAAAGCTGAAGTATTTTTTTATGTTGTATTACCGAAATAAACAGTCTCTGATATTTAAACAAAAACGATAAAATTGATCTTAAAATTTATATGAATCACTTCCTAAAGCTATGATTACAAATCAGAGCGGCAACCAACCGATTAGTAGCCTGCTCGGTCGCCATCGGAATGTAGGCATCGCCCATCGATTTTTGGAGAAATCGAGCAGGCTGTAGAGCCCCAGCGATGCCAGGGCGGTGCCCTGTCGATTTTCCGTCGGTCGCCGGTCGATTTTAGGTCAAAACTGGGCGAAATCGTGGAGCTTTTCCGCGCGGTGTCCCGGCAGTGACCGAACGGTGACCTACCGATTCCCGAGCAGTCTCCCACCGGCCGCCGGCTGATTTTAAAGATATTGCACGGCGGCCGACCAGTGATCGGCGGGGCCCCAAAATAAACTCGATGCCCGGCCGTTCGCCGCCCGGGAACCGAACTAATCGGGCATTTGCCGCCGAGCGATATAGGTCAAAAATCGAAGCCGATATATAAATCCGAACATGAAAATACTAAGAGTATCATATTTTACGGATTCTCTGTCTGTTTTTCGTTCTTAATTTCGCTGTTCTCTGTATGTCTCTCTACTATATATATTCATCTCTCTCTTTATATATATATATATATATTTGACCCCTCCCTCATTTATCGCACCCCTTCTCTGCTTCTTTTTCTCTATCACTCCGTTTTCTGAACCTAGGTTACTGATCTGTGGAACTATGGATGGCGGCAGACTGAAACATCATCTCAGAGGTATTCGACCACGCGGCAACCTCCTTGTGGAACTTCGACATGTAAGTATCGCTCCACGTTGTGTGCACTGTACACGCTCACTATTTCTCATTTCCATCTGTATAATGACCGCTATGATGCTAATAATGTTCTGTATTATCGTTTGTGAAATTCAATTTCTAAATTTATTTCCACTTTGGACCCATTTTCTTTGTTAACGTTTCCTTAGTGTTTCTTTTTCCTCATGTGAAACCATCCCCGTCCGCTTTGTAAGTTTTTTCAAACTGTTTTATATTTTGAGTTTTCGTATCATACTCTTTTGTCTCCCTCATCAAATTTGATGATATCAAAATATTTGATGATATCAAAATATATCCCCCTCATCAAATTTGCAAGGTGCCTTTTTCTTTGACAAATTAACCTTTTCCTTTCTTATGAATTTCCTTTTCCCCGTTTTTATAACTGCCCATTTTCATTTCTGATGAATGACTTTTTTACAACTGAAGGATTGACTGATAGTAGGTATAGCACACCAAAAATAATTATAACAAACACATGTTATTTGATGGTTGCAAATGATCAAGCTTTATGGAAGCTTCAAAAACAGAATTGAAATCGGTCAATGCGTTGTGATTTTATACAATTTTTTTGATATCGCAAAATTACCGAAAAACCTGCCAGAAATGGTCAAATTGTCAAAAATGGCATAATTCGACAAAGTTGGCAACTTAATTCATCACTTTCTTGGACACAAATAATAAATTAAATTATAAGACACTAAAAAATCATCTTTGTGGTAAAAAATACAAAAAGGAAAATTTATATATCTATTACCGTTTTGAAAACAGAAGCCAACAAAATAAGTCATTTTTGCCATTTTTGCGTATCTGCAGATATAAAAAAGTTGTGAAAATAAGTCCGCCTAATTAATATGCGCATATGTTATCAAATCAAAATCGAACATGATACATCAGTGAAATCTATTAGACCAAGAGCATTAGTTTTAACATGGACATTTTCCATAACAAGCTGATTTTTGTCAGGATAGTTCCTGGAATATGTCTAGATTAACATACTAAAAGTCCTCATAAATCATCCTTGAGCGTTTTCCGCAATCCAAGATGGCGTCCAAAATGGCCGCTATGTCCTGAATTTCTAAAAGCTTTGCAACTAGATCACCCAAATACAAAATTTAAACGTCTACATATAAGTTTTTAGCACAAGGAACTAAATAAAATACATGTTGATAAATTTTGAGACACACAAGTAGCTATAAACCACTTTAGCCCTTCTCGAAATCCAAAATGGCGCCCCAAATTGCCGCCATTTCCTGTATTTCTTATAACTTTGCAACTTGATAACCCAAATACAGAATTTAAATGTCTAAATATATGTTTTTCAGCATAAGGAACTCAACCAATCAATTATTATCAAATTTTGAAACACACAAGTAGCAGTAAGACCACTTGAGCCCTTCCCGAAATCCAAAATGGCACCCGAAATGGCCATTATTTCCAATTTTATCTCATTGTACTTATTAAAGTAGATACGTTATAAATATAATTAAATATCTAGACTAGAAAAGCACCATTGAAATACATATCAGTACAACAATCTTTTAATTAAAAAATACTTTGTATGCATAAAGTACACACATACACGCACACGCACACCCACATACACATATTGCTGCTTCCATCATCCTCAACGATATTAGACTGACAATGTGCAACCGTGAAGAGTACCCAACATTAGATGGGAATGAAAATGTAGACACATTAGTACCAAGGTCGCTAAAGCTTTTTATACATAAAGACTGTGGAAAAGGTGCGGTATGGATGTTGCTTTGCTGCAGCACTAGTTGGAGGTAGACTTTCGAACCGAAAGGATGAACTCAGAGAACTGTGACCAATTGCCCGTTTGTATGCAGTGTGACGGTAGTCATCAAGAGATTCGAAACTGCTGGCCCCATAAAGGCTTCCCCGGCTCTGTTTTACCTCGTCATGGGTGCTTCCGCTGCGAATGTATCAAGCAAGTTATAGTCAAGTTTCTTGTGGACCATATTGAAAGTTTACTATTGCTCTGACGGTAGATTGCAGAGCCCGTATCACACCCTGTCATAGCATAAAGAAACATCAGGCGATTTCCAGTGTCCCCTATGGCATGCTGAATTTCATGAGTGTTGAAGACCGTGACAGGATAACTGCGGCATAGCATGTGCATATCTGTGGAAGTGGTTGACGGAGCAACTAGCATGACCAGAAAGTCTGTGTCCGTACAAACAACAACAACGGGCACCGGTTCTGAGTCTGCTACTGCTTGTGCTGTGGAGACAAGCAGGGTAGTGGCATCCGCTTCTGCGGCCTGCTTGATACGTATTTTGTCACGTGGAGTTTGTATAAGTCTCATCTTATTGTTTTTGTTGGCTAGGAAAGCTGTTTTGGGTTGTGCTTGTTGGCATATTATCATCAAATAAAGAGGTACATCTCTGGGCTATTCGTCTCTGCTCAGCTACCTTTGTCGAAGTTGCACTTACATATCCATCGAACACCACCGTCAAATGAGCTCCATAATTCTTAAGGGTGTATGAAATATATGGCTGAACAAATTCAGCATAGGTTGACAGTTGTGGCCAAACAACTGATTGCAGTAGGCGACCACCATCTTAAACAAAGAGACCATTTCTGGCAGGTTGGATTGCTTGGTGAAGGAATTCAGAGAACTCTTTATTGGCTTCCGCATCACCCCACCTTTGAAAGGGAAAGTGCCTGGGAATAAGTTCATAAGCAAAGAACGATTCCATCTCAGTGTTGTTATTCAGGACTCATGTGATTCTGTTGAACAGTAACGTTGGGTTGACTTATGTGCTTTGTCCCCTGATTTTCACTCTCTTAATCTTTGCACAAATGGTCTTTACCTTGTCCTTACAATGTACGTAGCTTGATATCTGTAAACTTCCTACCATGCATTCGTTTCGGATGCCGTTAATAGGCCGATTTGTACAGGTTAATCACAATTAACAGATGAGCCAGCGACGATGCCAGTTGACAAGGAGACCAGGCAATTAGTTTCATATCCAGCAAATGGTGATGTGCCTGCAGCCATCCAACAAAGATACATCTATCTTTATTGTCTCTTGACCTGGTACTTTGCTGTTATCTTTAAGCTGCTCTGATGTACCAGTGTGTACCCCGGTGAACTGTTCTAGTTCATCACAGGTAGAAACACAGCGAGGAAGTGCATGATCCCACTTTAATAGCCAATGTACTATCTGTGATTCCACGGCCACTAGTCATTTCTCTAGATGTTTTAAGCTGCCGCATCAGGAACTTTTCAATGGTCTGATCAGAGAAGTTTCCACCCCAGAATGAATCCACACGGCGGATGGTGAGGTATCCCTTTTCTGCGAATTGTGTATATTCATTTCCTGGCATGGTTTGCTCTGACTAGAGCTTCCATCTGTTGTAAAAACAACCTGGCAGATTTGAACTAGGGAAGATGTCCTGTGGCATGGACATGTTGTATCATTTCCCTCACACAGCTGAGATGGAGCTTCCAGTCCCCTGTCCTTTCAGCTGGAATGAAACATTGCAGAAGAGACACATAATTGTCGGATATACTGCAACCAAAGTTTTCCTGTCCTACTTTGTCCTGCTGCCCGGTCAATGAGTTGTGAAATGGTCTGACTTTAACTGTTTGACACACTCTTCTCAGGTACAGCAGTCACCTTCTTGTCCTGGTTGAGGAGTGCACCATACAGATTCGCTAAGTCGTCCCAGTGGCGGATCCAGGGGGGGGGGGGGCCGGGGGGCCCGCCCCCCCCCCCCCCCCCCCTTGAGAAAAAAATCATGTAAAATCACGTAATTTTTACGTTTTTTTTTTTTTTTTTTTTTTTTTTTTTTGGGGGGGGGGGTGCAAATTGAAATTGTTTTGAGGACCCCCCCCAAAAAAAAAAAATGTGCTCACTACACCCCCCCCCCCCCCACTGAGCGACTTTTCGGCCGGCCTGATTTTCAAATTTTCGGGAGCAAAAAAAAATTAAAAAATGCTGCTGTCTAAGACGCCAGGTTTACCCATCAACACGCCAATGAGGGCAGCTGAAGTAAGAATGTGAGCACGAAGAGAAGGGGAAACGCATGACCAGATTGCATATGTATGATAGACCCTTTGGCGTACACTGTCTCCCATAGCTCTGCAAGCACACTTCCGTCCATGACGTGGACTATATACTGCCGAGAAATGACATGAGGAGGGGAAATCCAACAAGACGGACGATTACTTTTCCTAGGTCGTAAGAAGAAGTTACAATCTCTGCTGCCTTGATGGACAAGGGCTGGTCAAATGTTACTGCACATATCAAGTTTTGTTTTTCACATTGTGCCTTTGCAAAGTATAGTGCCGTGTAGATGGTACTCGGATTTGAGGGGTCTAAATTTATGAAGGGCAGATTTCAAATCTCATACTGGTCACTCTACATGGCCACTTTCATGAAACCACTCCATGAAGGACAAAGCTCATGTTGCTCAGCTCAAAATGTCTATCCGTTCACGTGATTGAGCCAACCTTCCGGTGTTTATACGCAGCTATTCCAACAATATTGGTGACAGAAATGACCTGGTCTACTAGCAGAGATGATAATGGCATGTGCTATTGAGGTGCATTTCCTGTTTGAAACCATGTGGCTTTTGCCTTTGCGACATTAATTGGTACTAACGTGTCTCCATTTTCAGTTCCTTCTAACGTTAACTCATAGCCTGCCATGAGGCTGCGTGCACGCTACTGTTACTCTGCTTCTTGCATGCTAGCAAACATTCGTAAAAGCAGTTATTGTTCATGCCCATTGGACTGTGCCTAGTGTTTTGCACGCGCTATTGTTAGTACCATCGCGTTAATCCGATTATCTCGTTATAAATAAGTACTCTTCACGGTTGCACACTGTCAGTCTGATGTCGTTGAGGATGATAGAAGCAGCCATATGTGTGTGTAGGTAGGAGGGTGGATGTGTATACTTTATGTATAAAAATTGTTTAATTACTTAATGGAGGTTTATTTGAATTGATATGTATTTCAAAAGTGCTTTTCTAGTATAGACATTTGATTGTATTCATAACGTATCTACTTTAATACAATGAGATAAAATTGGAAATGGTGGCCATTTGGGTGCCATTTTGGATTTCGGAAAGGGCTAAAGTACTTTTACTGCTACTTGTGTGTTTAAAAATGTATTAATAGCTTTTAGTTGAGTTCCATATGCTGAAAACATATATTTAGACATTAAAATTTGGTATTTGGGTAATCTCGTTGCACAGTTATAAGAAATTCAGGAAATGACGGCAATTTTGGGCGCCATTTTGGATTTCGAGATGGGCTAAAGTGGTTTATAGCTAATTGTGTGTTTCAAAATGTATCAACATGTTTTTATTGAGTTCCTTATGGTAAAAAACATATATTTAGACATTTAATTTTTGTATTAGGGTGATCTAGTTGCAAAGCTATAATAAATTCAGGACATGGCGGAGGATATACGAGGACCTTTATTATTTTATTCTAGACATATTCCCGGAGCTTTCCTGAAAAAAATCAGCTTGTTATGGAAATGTCCAGGTTTAAGCCTATTTTGACCTAATGCTATTGGCCTATATGTATATCACACAGGTATGGAAATATATTTCATTTGAAATAAAATAAAATCATGAATATTCATCAAATATGCAAATTAGGTCATTTCAGCTAATTATATATTTGCGCACTCATTATGCAAATTAGGAAAGTCAAACTGTTCATTTTGGGGGCATTTATTAAATCATATATTCATAGATCATATTTACAACAAATATTTACCTTAAATTCCTAATATTTTTGCAATGCCAATACAATATGGCGATGGAAATTACTTGGATCACCGTCACAGATATTTCCTCATATGTTTCACATATCATTCAGAAAAACCGATCATATGATAAAAATTTGTAGACTTTCAGCTACATCACAGTATTTTTTTCTTTTTAAAAAAATGTCAGATTTGAGGATTTATGACCATTTTTCGAGAAACCATACAACAGGCCACAAAATTACACAGGAACTAAATTTTAGAGAAATACAAAATTTGATGATCTTAGTACAGTTATGCTTACCTTGAGTGTAAATAAAAAATTGATTCAATGAGTGAAACACATGAGGCTATTGCATTTTTGTAGGGAAGTTTTATACATTGAGGTGCATTTTTTTCACCATACAGAATAGCAGCGCGAGTCAAAGGGCGATCAGCGGGCCATGTCACACATGGCTGAAAATACAATATTCTAATTCAATAATTAACATATTTCCCTCATGCCTATAACAATGAAACAACGAAGAATTGTAGTTAACGGTAAGCTTGAAATATATGTGAATTAAAAATTTAAAAATATTGATTAGTTTTTTAAAAATACATTTACAAAAATTGCTAGTTCTACCAACTGACTGCTGTTGGGTGTGTGTGTTCGCGGGGCAGACTGTTTGCACAGGCATTGTGATCACCCTACTGATAGGTTTATTGAGAACATTTCATGATCTTAATCATACAACTAAATTGACATGAATAACAATAACAATCATGCACGTGTTTAAACAAAATATATGCAAATTGTCAAAAAGATATATATAGACCATGTAAATTTTTCAATATTAAAGAGTAGAGAACAAAGCTAAACACACCGACCGAGGAAGAAAAAAGAAAAAAATCACAATGACCAGCAACCTGGAGTGCAGCCAGCATTCCTGAGGGATGTTAAGGCACCTGCGACAGTACTGGAAGAGATGGGGGATCCATTTCTAGAACAGATTCAAGACCAGCTAATAGTCATTGGCACAAGCGACATATCGTGGACACCCAATTGGCTGAAACGGGGTGAAGGATTGAGACCCTA